ATCCAGAAAAACTACATCCACTGACCTTCCTTTCACCCACCAGGCGGGTGACTTTCACTAATCTATGTCCTATGATAAACAGGACTTTCCCTTTCTGAACCCATGTTGACTGTGCCTGATCATCACATTATTCTTTGCATGCCTTTCAATAGTATCCAGTGTAGTCTTCTCCATAAGAAAGTTGCTTATTCCCTGAATACTGCCTGTATTCTAGTAGTATTAATACAAAACACAGCTGCCATGAAATGAGCTTGAGTGTGACATTAAGCGTATCTATCAATTACTTGGAATTAATGAATATCTGATGTCTGTGCTGTTAGCCACTGGCAAATGTGAAGTAGCTTTCATCCTGTTAATTTAGAGGAACAGAATTAAACTTTCTAGGGTGCACAAAACTGTGTAAATAGCTTGTGACAGACTAAATTAATTCCTTATCAGATGGGACTAAAAATAATATATCTTAAAGAATAACCCAAAGATGTTTTGGAGGAACAGCAAAACATTATTGGTGTTTCAAAACTGTAGATTCTTTTTCAGGAAAAAGAATGAAACTAGTCCTGTTAACTTAAGAATTATGACTTTTTTTTTAACTTAATAAATATTTTTTGTTGTTTTTTTTGTTTTACAGGATACAAAATTATGGATAATAATGGAATATCTGGGGGGAGGCTCTGCCCTTGATCTAGTAAGTAAATTATGTATGGTTTTTGTTATTTTACCTCATATAATTATTTTCCTATCTTATAATTTTGGAAACTATAATATGTCATTTGGCTATGACAATGTTTGCTTCCAGTAAATGAGAAAAAGTATTTGTCAATGCCAGAAAAATGTTCTTTTCCATGAAGCAAGACTGATTATTTGTATAGATGGAAGGGAACTAAGCAACGTAATGTTGGAAGCAGGATATAAACATCTTAGAATGCTAATCTTCAGTCAGCCAGAGAGCACTAGTGCCTGAAAACAGTTTTTCTGTCTCTCAATTCTGCCACCACAGCTCCTCCTAGTGTGTACGTTTTAACGTCTCTTTCCTACCACTGCCACCCCCAAACAAACAAACAAACGTTTCCTTGTTTGAAGTCTCACTGAATTCTAGAGACAGAAACAAGATTTAGGCCTGTATTAAAAACTGTATTTCAAAGAAATAGGAGGAGCTGTGGACTACCTCGAGGGTAGAGAGGCCTTACAGAGAGACCTGGATAGACTGGAGAGCTAGACAATCACCAGCCCTATGAAAGTTAACAAGAGCAAGTGTTGGATTCTCCACCTGGGATGGGGTAATCCTGGTTGTATGTACAAACTGGGGAATGAGGGGCTGGAAAGCAGCCCTGCGGAAAGCAGTGGGGGGGGTTGGGCTGATGGCAAGGTGACTGTGAGTCAGCAGTGTTCCCCGGCAGCCAAAAGGGCCAACAGTGTCCTGGGGAGCATCAAGCACCGCCTGGCTAGCCAGTCCAGGGAGGTGACTGTCCCACCCTACACCGCGTGCTGCAGCCCCACCGTGAGTGCTGAGTGCAGGTTGGGCACCTCAGTACACGGGCATCGAGCTATTCCTGTGTCCAGAGGAGGGCGAACGAGGTGGTGAAAGACCTCGAGGGCAAGACTTCAGGGAGCAGCTGAGATCACTTGGTTTGTCCCGCTTGGAGAAGGCTGAGGGGTGACCTCATCGCAGCCTACACCTTCCTCAAGGTGGGCAGCAGAGGAGGAGGTGCTGATCTCTCTGGTGAGCAGCGACAGGACATGAGGAGATGGAATGAAGCTGCATCAGGGGAAGTCAGACTGGATGTTAGGAGAAGGTTCTCCACTGAGAGGGTTGGCAGTCACTGGAACAGGCTCCCCGGGGGAGTGGTGCCAAGCCCATCAGAGTTCAGGGAGTGTCTGGACGCGCACTCTTAGTCCTATGGTTCAGTTTTAAGTAGTCCTGTGAGAAGCAGGGAGTTGGACTCGATGATCCATATGGGTCACTTCCAACACGTTTATGATTCTAGGATGTATTTTTTGGGTTTGTATGCCAGGCATAACTGTACAATAGAACCTTGTAAACTGTAACTTTAGTGAACCATATCCGTTCTGTTTCTCTTCTGGTAGAGGACATCCGTTTAATAAAGCGTGATTCTTTAAAGATATGGTTCAAACTAGACTATGTCAGATACCGTAACAAAAATTATCCAGTTTTGAGTCAGAATTCCAAAGGTTCAGTGCAGATTGTGTTTTCCATTATTGGGTGCTGGCCATTCCCTTTAGCTATTAAAAAAATATTCACATGCCATCTTATATTTATTGAGGGTTTTTAAAATACTATTTCTAAATAACTATATTAAAAATGGATGTTTTAAGTATGTAAAAATTGTCATACCAATTGAGACCGAATATGGCATAGTTAAATATATGCTAATAAATATTGGAG